GGCATTGCTATGTAGCTAAGTTTTGGCAGAGTTTCATTATCCATGCTTTGCAAACAGTGCCATAACAACGCAGTTAATTAATCACCAAGCTTCTTTGTAAGTCCCAATACAGTTGAATCGCACGCGATTTGAGTGCAAAAATCAAGAAAAGTGCCAACTTGTTCCCGTAAAATATTTTGAATATTGACCTAAAAAATGAGTAATTTCCAGATAAAATAACAGCGAAATCAGTTTTCGCTTGCCAATAAAACTCACAGATATTGAAGCTCCATTATTAAAGGAACATTTTAGTATATGCCATTCTTGATAAAACTTCTTAGCCACGCAATACCAGCGCAAAATAAAGAGACACTGAAAACACAACCAATCACTCCGATTTACCATAGGAAAATACATAGAAAATGTATGTCTCAACTGCGCCAAATATACAGACAGTTATATACCTACATGTGACGTCATGATTAGCCCGACCAATCAGAAGCAAGTTGTTTTCAGCCACAAATAATTAATTTCTGAACTAACTAGGCATTTTTTTAACAAAGTGATTTTAAATTAAATCATTAAAAATTCTGAGCTTTTTTATTTTACCAAAACACACAGAGCATGCAGATAGGTCCCAACCCTATTAAAGCCACCTGACTCCTGAGGCACCCTGACACCAGGCTGAAGCTGGGTTGGAAATGCTTCGTCTTTGCAGATATCACTGGCCGCTGATTCTCGAGTGCCTGAACCGGTAGATGTCGTGGCAAAATTTGGTGTGATAATTTGGACCTTACCGCAGTCAGCGCACCCTAAAGCCTTAATAAAGAAACGCCCTACCCAGAGCTTCTGGATTCTCGTTCCAGTCCACCGTTCCTTCACCCCAGCCCACCGCCACGCTCCCTCACCTCAGCCCTCCGTTCCCAGCTTGACGAGCGTTTGGGCCTTAGCTAAGCCTTGCTGTAGGCTAACTGTGTAAACCCATCGAGACAGCCCGTCTCGGTGAGCTTAGTTGGCGAACTACTGCCTTGGGGAGGGTTTCTGGCGGATCGCTGTCCCAATAGGTTTAGGTGCGACCGACTGTCTCGGAATGTTTGAGCGGTCTCCTCCCGCTGTGAGCTAGTTTCAGTTGATATCTGTCTCAGAAATACTTTTTAAAGGAAGGTTAAACGGAAATCGAACGTAAAATGAACAGAGGAAATGGTAACGAGTTACCCCATTGAAGAATAGCGCTCGCCTACTTTAAAAGGCTTAGAACCGTTCTTCAACATCTAATACCTATGTATGCGATCGGGATTATGGCACAACTTTTCCCATTGGAGCTTTTTTCTAATACAGCAATACGAAAAGCGTTACATCGTCCACTGGCGGATCCAGGGAGCGGGCATTTAAAGTAACTATTTACTCTCCCTCCCCTGGCCCCTGCATCGCCCGAAATAGACAAAACGTACCTTATATTTCCTAATAATAACACTTTTATCAGGATTTTTTTTTTGCTTTATACTGTTCAGCATTAGATCCGTAAGGAATCGAAATCCGAGGAGTTTTTGGATTTTGGACACTTTTTTGGGGGGGTGGTATGTCCCCTACAGCGTCGAAAACGCCTTTCTGGATCCGCCTATGACATCATCTCGACTGGGATCTTGCCCCCCCCCACCCAAAATCGAATCCGCCGCCACTGGTTGCAAGTTGAGTTTTTAGAGCCTTGGTAGGTTGTAGGTTGAAAGCTGGTAGGTTGTTGGTAGGTTATAGGTTGGTAGGTTGCAGGTAGGTGCAAGTAAGTTGGTAGGGCGAGGTCAGGTTACTTGTTAGGCTGTTTTTTCTTACATTTGTGCAACACATTTCATTTTGGATTCAGGATATCAAATATGTAAGGATCTGCAATATTCATGCTTGAAAAGGGAATAAGACTTATTATTGTAAATATTTACCATAATATCATACCAAGGTCTTTCAAACAAGATGACCTCACCTCAGAAAAAGTTCCAATGCTTGTCATAGCTACACTGAGTGATGGGTCACACTTTGATGTTGTCAGCAATTGATAAGGGCAACAGTATAAAATGTCTAGCACATAATTTGGATATGTGACCTGAGGTCAGGTCAGTTTTGCAACCTCCATTTTAACACGCGCAGTGGAAGGGGGGCGGATTTCGCCCACCCCTCCTGTTTTTCGCCAATAACTCGCGCTGCAAGCATAATATCAATGTGAAATTTCGGCTACCTGTCCAGAATTTAACTGCGGATCTTCTCGTGCAAGAAGTAAGAAAATCGGCTCACAACTTTTCTAGTAATAGCGGTGTAAAGTCAAACATCCTGCCGCCGCGGCGGCGCGGCGGCGCGGCGGCCGGCGCTAGCCGTTAGGCGCCGCCTGCATTGTAGACTGTGCCGGGGCGGGACGGTTCCGTCTTTACATCGCGCTCCTTACCGCTGATTATATTAGATTCGCATCAAATTCGGTGAGAAGACTGATAATGTACGGGCAATCATATGGTCAAAGAATTTTGAAAATCGGCCGGTAACAACTTGAGTTATGAGTGTGTAAACACAAAATTGTGATTGCCGCGTTTCCCGCGTCCGCCGATCCCGCTTCAGCCGGCGACATCTTACCCTTAGCCGGCTTCTAACTGCCATATTTATTGTTGGATTATCTAGAAATTCACCATACATACTCACAAATGTTTGCTCTTTCGTAAAGTGAAAGATTAAAAAAATCGGCCGGTAACTCTTTGAGTTATCGGCGTGTAAACGCAAAAAAGTCGCTAATATGGCAGATTTGACCACATTTGACCTCATTTGACCTTGAAGATATTGACCTAGGGTCATGAAATTCACATACAACAGAGTTCCCTATGGCCCCCACCTACCCTCCAAATTTCGTCTTTCTAGCTCCAGTGGGAGCTGAGATCTTAGGGGGGGGCGACATCCGCCCCCCCCCCCTTCCACTGGGCGTAGTACTCGCAACCCTTCCACTGCGCGTGTTAAGACATTGCAATTGGGAGAAAAATGAAAATTGAAGTGCCTTTTTGGCTGAACATCATTCTAAACAATTTCAGGCACCAATGTACAAGAAAACATGACAACTGAATAAAAAAATGGCACCTGTGACCCCTGCTTATGTCCGTGAAGTCATCTCAGGTCACAAAGGCTTTGCAACAGTTCTTCGCCAATAGCTTTTGATAGAGGCGTGCTAGAGCGATGAAAACACTTCAGATGTGCTTGGTACCATGATACGAATCAGCTGATATGAAACTCACCCTGCGTTCGGAGTCTCTCGGATGACGAAGATTCTACAGGGTGCCCCAGAATTGACCGAACATTTTTAAAAAGAAATTTTGTCCGAAAGGATGAATGGGTTGCCATGGGTCCGGGTGCCCCGCTAAGCAGTGCTTGTAGCGAATGATAGGTACCAGGGACCCGCCACCCTGCCTTGCCCGCGCCCGGCTCACCGGTGATAATTTGGATCGAAAGTTTAACGTGCCGCAGGTAGATGGCGGCACGGTCCTCCCGTGCCGCCATCCCGGGTCATCCCGGGTCTAGCGTGGCCCTCTCGCCAGTTGCCAGCTGGCTTAATATAGGAACGCGGGTCAAACGACGAGGAGCTTCCCGGCCACCAACTCGCTGCCACCGAGTTAGGAGACGGACGCCTTATCCACTAGGCCAAGGGGAGGACCAGGCGGAGATTTTCTGGCTAAAAGTACGATTGCGCTCGATTCTAATTAGATACCTACGAACATTATACCTACTTTTATAAGACATCCTTTACCAATTGAGCTTGGAGACAATTTGTTTTTGGTGACCGGTCACGACTCGAGTCAATTATTATCCAGAGTCAGCAAAGAGTAGACCCTTTCCGTTTTTAGCCTTAGTTGCCAAAAGGCAATCATGGTGAATCAAGTATCGTTCTCAACTTCGTAAACAGACTTTCGGCATAGTTCTTGCTGGAGAGCTCCAGCAGCTCACCTGCAAACAGGTAGGAGTGTGCAAAGCGCAGCTATATCAGCGAGCGAAGCCAGAGAGAGCAAGAGATAACCTGATCGACAAGCCTGGGCGTGACCAAAACGGAGCATGCACCAGTCGTCAAGCTGGTGGCTGCCATGTCATGGACAACAAACGTCACCCATCTACCCAAAAACAAGCTAAACGACAGATCAGGGTCAGCTACAAAACATCAGTCTACTTTTCGACAAATTTTCGACAAGTCTTCGACAAATTTTTGGAATTTAGGGCCTCTCACCGATTAAGGTCTATGCCACAAATTGTCTAATGCACCGGTGCCGCTCATCATAGCAGTCATATTCAGGTGAAGTTGCTTGTCAGTGTAGGGTAAATTTTTGGCTTCACGGAGTTCCTATTATGTGTTTGGATTTGAAAAAGGCATTTAGAAGCATTAGACCGAAAGCAATAAACAAAATAGGAGGGATAACCCTCCACGCCGTGGACTGGGAGGATAAGTCCCTCCGTCCCCTCCCCTGTGGCGCCGCCCCTGCCTACCGGTCTCTGACCAGTCCGAATTTCATAAGCTGCTGAAGTACCTGAGATCTTATTTGTGTACTGTCGAACTGACGAGCATCAGCATTCAGCATTCTTTTAAAGAATCTTTATTTCTGTTTACTTAGCTCCATTGTGAATTACCGTTAATTGGCAGCTTTTTAAAACATTCATGAGTGATTTTTTTTTTGGTGGGGACGTCCCCCCAGATCCCTCGACGGGGGACGCGTCCTCCCCCCCGTGCCCCCCCCCCCGCTTTCGACGCCCATGGATCTGGCTATGTGATGCACAAAAACAAGATTTGGTGCGCAAAGAGCACTGACAATAACCTGAGCTCCATAAATACACATAACTTCCACATAACATTGCGAAATTGGTGCCCATGTGTGTGCCTGTTCATGATAGAAAGAGAGGGAACATAGATCTTATGATAATGGTTTTAGTTCTTGATTGTAAAGGTAGAGGTACAGCTGCATAGGTCCTGACTGTTTCACATTAAAATTTAGATACTGACATTCCCATTTCTATTTGTTCCAGTGCCCGGACAAAATGGAGGCTCAAATTCTGTGTGGCAATGCATTTTTTGTTGTTTCTCATAATGATACTCAAACTGTCATCAGATATTCTGGATAAGCTAGACATTTTCATTTTGGAGATCGAGGAACTCGAGATTCCTCCGGTAAGTAGTTCCGATGCATTGATGTTTTTCTTTGTTATTGCTGTATCTGAAGTAACTACAACTGAAGTAGCTCTTATGGACTGGGGGTCTGTATATACTATGTATATAGTTAAACGACACTTGAAAATCGAATGGTGGAAGAAATCATAAAACGACTCCTTTTGCAATCGCTTTCGATGTTCTATATCCAAAGGTAAATGAATCCCCTTCGGCCTTCTCTGGAAACTGTCTCATTTTGTTTATTTCATTTTGCTGTTTTTTAGGACGATTGACTGATATTTTTGTTTCTTCCAGCCTGTCAAATGGGAGTACATATGGAGCTTCAGCGTTTTATATTCTTTGTGTGCACTTTCTGCTTGCAAGACAAATAGTGTTTTTTATCTACAGATCTACATAGGTAAGTACTTCTTCGGCTTTGTACTTTTCACAAATATCATCCCTAATGCAGAATACCTTCCGAGAAAACCGACTTTGCGATTGCTTCGCACTTTGGATTTCCCATAATCCATCTCTGGCAGCACGCCTTTCCACCAACCAAGCAGCGTTCGTTCGCCTCGCGTTCCAACATAACGGTCTACCCGGCGTCTGCCACCCGTCTGCATCCGCCCGCACCCAGTTCGACATGACAGTGGGCGGGCATGTTACGGGGCCGAGATATGGTGCAGGAGTGGTTTTCCCGTATCTAGGCACCTTCGTCTGCTCACTTAATCGTCATTTTTAGCGAACTGGGGACCGGTAAGGTGTGCTTGGAAACCGATATCAAATATTGTTTTGCTGTGGTTGAAAGGGGTTTGGTTGGTAGCAATGGCTGTGATGTTTCTCTTTGTCCGTTCTGGACGTGGTAATTGTTTTCAAGGATACCATGGACAAGAGAGATATGTTCTGCTACGCCATTTTTCATCACACTTCTATACTATTCTAGGCAATAATATAGCGATTCTGTTTGAAAGTGAAGGTGAAAGATGCACTTCACAACGATTCGGCCATGATAGGGGCCTGCGTCAAACAGGCCATTTCACACCAATATCGGCTACGAATAAGCAACATTCGCTGAGGCAAAGCAGTGACAATAATTTTCGAGTCCGGATTCGGCGTCTTGAAGCTGTTGGCGACTCCGACTCGACTCGGGCTAGAACCGTCGAGTCCGATCGGTACCGACATCACAAACGTTGTTAGAAAACTATCCTACTATTTTTCAAACCCCAAAATCTCATTGGATCTGTATCAATCGGTCGGAGATTGACGTGGAGGGGCAAGCTGCACCGCTTGCCCCCTATGGCGACGCTAATGCATAGGCTACACAGAACTTGCCCGAGTGACCTCAGCAACCTTGAAAACCGCGGTGGAACAAAACGTTTTACTGTCGGCTGCTTTGTGGCAGCTGCCATTCCACGATTATCAGTCGGCTCGGTTTGTGCAGGGCTTGTAACGCCTTTGTGGTCGGATAAGGGATTAGCCGCTGCCCCGTCATCTGGCCGTCACCTAAGTGCGGATCAGTGTCGGTAACGGTGTGGCGGCCACCGGTAAGGAAGTGCCTTGGCTACAAACGTCCCGCGCCGCGCCGGTCAATGCACGGGGTCGTCGGACATACGGATCTTATCAGGCGCAGAGATGCCTGCGATCTGTGACTGCAGAATATTCTGCGACTACAAATGCGAGCCTAGTTGGAAATCTACGGAGTTACGCGGATATGTGTTGAAGTTATTTTGCATTATGTTGAATAATGTTATAGGTATTAGGTATAACATTAATTTTGTGTATTAATATTGTTATATTGTGTTCGCCTCGCCATGCACTTTGTATGAGAAACTTTCCTGTCGATAGTACGCGAGGAGCACTGTTTTGTGTTCCGCATACAAAAATAAAAGCAATGACAAAATAGTGGGCCAGTTGTGTCATCCTGTATGCTGAGTCTAAGCACTGCGACAATTTCACCGGGATTCCCTATGTATCTGCGTTCTGTTGCAGCTATTTCTGCATATGCATGCTAACAAAACTTCCGTCTCCGGACAACTTCCAGGCGACACTTTTGCACCGTTCATTATGTATGAACTGGACTGACGCAATCCATCGCGGGACGTCCCCATGTCATTCCTCGGCTCCGGAGAGATTTACATGCGCGGCTGGTCGCCCCCCCCCCCCCCGTCGGTCGTCCGAGGACCGTCTGGCACGCTGCTGGCACAGAGGCCAGGTCCGGCCTGACCCGGCACCTGTCCCGGTCCCTCTGTGTCACTGAGACACTCACCCGCTCTGACCCGGCCCCTCTGTGCCACTGAGACACTCCCCCGCCCCGACCCGGCCCCTCTCCGACAGGAGGTATTGCCACGCTGGGCCTGGGGCCGGCGCTGGGTGCGCTCTGCTACTACCTGCCCGACGCGTACCGGTTCGTGTCAGCTGAGACACCCGAGGAGGCGGCTGATGTCCCTATGTGGCAGGTGAGTCAATCACGAGCAGCGCGGCCTCCATCAGGTCATGGTGGCCTGACTGTGGAGAAGGTGTGGAATGGACGATCGGCGGCGGAAGAGACTGACGAGGGTAGTGACGCGCCAAACAAGTTTGCAGACTATGTGTACCAGTTTTTCGGACACTAATTATCCAGTCGCCTGTTTAGCTCGCGGTGATGTAATGCGGATATTTTTAGCAGACGTATCAGTACCTTTATCTTAGATCAAGGGCTGTTATGCTAATTGAAAGATCGTTAAAGTGATTAATGTCTCGGGTTTTGAAGTTTAAGCTGTTGACAATAAATACCATATGCCTTTTCCGCAAATGAGGCTTTCACAGGAACCTGAATCGCCAATATCCTAAATGTGCTCAACATCAGACGAGTCTCGATGGTCAACATATACATAGCCATCGCAACTTGCCCAAAATGAACCCTAGGAAACGTATAATTGATGTGGTCTCGTTTCCTTTCGCTAAAATCGTTATTGTGATAGGGGTTCGGGACTTGCGTTTAATGCCTATTCAGAAACATTATGTTTGAAATATCAGGGCGCGTTAGTTTCTTTGATTTTTCGTGTCCATAAATGATAGGCGTTTAGAAAGTTTTGATTGTATTATGCAATATGAAGCAGGATCGGAAGACTCCCTCCTCCGAGTACATAAATGGGCACATGCTAGCCTGTTGCGTTTTTAGACGGATGTTTCAACTGGTGACGTTATCGAGAAACTTACTCCGTTTGCCTGGGAATTGATATTCAGTGAATCCTTAAGTGAAGCGATGCTGGTGCCTCGCCATGCCATGATTATATGCATTTGGTGCACCAGGTTGGTGCACCACATTTCGTCAGCTAACTGTCGCGTGGTCTATAGTGACAGCTAGCTCCTCCGTCTCTGTCACGCGCCCATCTGTGTCGGCAGGGTCTTCCGTACAGCATCATCAACCTGGCCTTCCTGCTGCCCGTACTGCAAGTCCACGGGTTCGCTCTCTTCTTCAGCGGCCGGCTTCTGTCGGCTTGGAAGGCTCGCGGTACTAAAAAGACCCAGTGAGGCCCAGTGGGTCTAACTAGCGGCCCCGAGGAATCTCCAGACCCGGCGGCGGGCTGCCGCCCCTCCCCTTCACTGCCACCCAGTGTGCCTTGCTGTTGTTGCGGTGGAGTGCGAGCTTCACGGGTGCTGTTCTGACGCGTTGTTATCACCCACGCTGCTGGTTGCCTCCGTGTGTCTGTGTGTACGCTTTCAGCGTCTCTGTTACGCTAAGTTGAAAACGTGTGGTTTTGCGCTAGTGTGGAACACATGAGTTCAGTTTAGCAGGACAGAGCTGCCAAACGGGCCTGGTGCCATGTCGACTGGGGCTGGTCCCCTAATGACGCTCCCTACTCGAGTTTCCTAGTCACGTGAGCGGTGCGGGCGTCTCCCCCAGGGAGGCCGGTGCTCCCGCCCCTCCTCAACCCACCGAAGGTCGGGGCGTCGAGTCCCTTTACGCGGGACTGAGACGTCGGGACAGTTTTCGAATGCTCCCTGTTGAATACCGTGCATGATGCCTCAGAGTGTCGAACAAACAAACCAAAGTTGTGCAGATGGTGTTTAGCCGGATTACAGGAATATTACAAGCATTGTTTAGAATATTTTTTTTTTCAAACCACTATTGGAGAAAAGGAGTAACGGCTACTAAATGATTGGTGTCTTACCGTACACATCCAACGACCAAAATCTTGGCTCCGGCTGCATCAATCTTGTAAGCGGTGATCTTCTCGTTGGAGTACCATTTTGCTAATAATCCACATTTTTGTGTTCTTTTTTTCTTTCAAAACTGTTGTAATCCATGCTTTTCAAGTTAGATACGTGATCCTTTTTACCTTTTTACGTGTTTTGTCATTTTAAACAATTTACATACCTATGTTTACAACTAAAGGATTGCTTCACATTGCTGATCTTTTTCCTAGACATATTTTACGCTTCAAGTTGTTGGAGCGATGTCTTTTGTAAAGCTGGTGCACCCAAAGCTGTCCAAGACTGACAAATGACTCCGACAAGCTTGGCGAGTCTTTCCGTCACCAAAGCTGCCAGCTCACTCGGCAGTCTGGCGGCGCGGCTGCTGCCGATGCTACTGTTGCTCCCGGCACGCGCAGCGTCAGAGGGCGGTCTCTCCGACTACGTGCAGCACCACCAGATGCTCCACTACACTCCGCTGTCCGCCGGTCGCGGCCGGCGCTCGACGGCCCCGCCGCTGCAGCTCCAGCTGCCAACTGGGGACCGCGTGCTCACCCTCCGCCTGGTACCAGATACGTCCACCCTGGCGCCGGACATCGTCTACTCTGGCCCGTCAGGCTCCACGGTCGGCACCGACTCTCTGACGCCGCTCTTCACCGGCTGGGTGCTCGGCGAGCCCGGCTCGGCGCTCTTCGGCGGCCTCGTGGATGGCGTGTTCGACGGCACGATCGAGCTGGCCAACGAGACGCTGGTGGTCGAGCGGACGTCGCTGCACATGCACGGTGGCCCGCACGGTCACTCGTTCGTGTACCGAGCGTCGGATATGCTCCTACCGCCCGCGCGTGAGGGCGACCGGCCTTGCGGCGTCAGAGATGGGCACGATCCGCTGGTGTGGGACAGCGACAAGCACAAGGCGACGACAGTACCCAGTGAAGAAGATAGACAACCGCGGCAGGAAACCGTGACGCTCGCTTCCGTGATGAAACACTGGCGGAGCAGCACCGGTCGCGGTCGCCTGAAAAGACGCATCGACGATCACGATGGCGACCACGGCAGTGGCCATAATGAAGACGCCGAGCCCGACGAGGTGTACAACAAACATCACGACGGGGCGCACTCGCGCACACTCTGCTCCGTGTACGTTGAAACGGACCCCAAGCTCTGGCAAGAGATATTCCGCAATGAGCGCGGTAGTTTACGCCGCACAGAGACGTTTCTTCAGTGGCTGGCCGGGTCGCACGTTCAGGGCGTCAACCGGATTTTCAAACAAGCGATATTCGACGGCCGGCACCACCACCACGAGTACCAATTTCAGATCCAGAAGCTGGTAGTCAGCGACGACCACACGTGTCTACCCAACTACTCGGGCGTGCGCAACCGGCTCTGTTTCGACCACACCAACTCGCAGACCTACCTAGAGGCGCATTCCGACACCAACTTTGACTCCTTTTGCTTGGCGTTCGCCATCAGCTACCACGACTTTGAGCAGGGCACGATTGGTCTGGCGTGGATTGGCGCGCCGTGGGAGGGTGCTGGCCGCGGCGTGTGCGCGCGACACGCCGCGCAGGCCTTCTACAACTGGGAGACGGGTGTGATAGAGCGCAAGTGGCGCTCTCTGAACACGGCCATGATAACGCTGCTGAACTTTGGGCGGCCGGTGCACCCCCTGCAGTCGCAGCTGACTCTGGCCCACGAGATCGGCCACACGATGGGCTCGCCGCACGACCAGGGCGCGCTCGGCAGTCAGTGCCTGCCGAACGACGCAAAAGGCAACTTCATCATGTTCTACCTCTCGCAGGATGGCCACCTGCCGCGTCACCTGCAGTTCTCCAACTGCAGCGTCGGCAAACATATCCCGCGTTCTCGACTACATCACGGACGGACTCTACTTCAACTGCTTCGCGGTGAAAGGCTCGGCGTTCTGCGGTAACGGCGTCGTGGAGACGGGCGAGCAGTGTGACTGCGGGTTCACGGCGCACGACTGTCGCGACCGGTGCTGCTGGCCTCGTCACCCGCCGGCCGCCGCCGGGTCGCCCAAGAAGGCCCGCTGCCAGTACCAGCCGGGCGCCGTCTGCAGTCCCAGCCAGGGGCCGTGCTGCGACCCGGTGGCGTGTGCCACCGTGCCGGCGGAGGCCAACCACACGTGCCGCGCGGGCACCGAGTGCACGCTGCCGGCCCTCTGTGACGGCCGCTCGCTGCAGTGTCCCGCCGTCGACGAATATGGCCGAGCTGACGCCGTGCGGCGCCGGCTCGCGGGTGTGCGTCAAGGGCCGCTGCACGGGCTCCTCGTGCCTGCGCGACGGGCTGCTGCCCTGCCAGCTGACTGAGGCAGACGTCGGCGGCGACCGCAGCCAGCTCTGCGTGGTCGGCTGCCACGCGCACAGCGGCGCTCCGTGCCGACCGCGCAACCCCTGGCTCCTGGAGGCCGGCGACCCGTGCGACGGCGACCGGGGCGCGTGCGACTCGCTGCTGCGGTGCCGTCCGCTGGAGGCGGCGGGTCCGCTGGCCCGGCTGGAGGCGCTGCTGCTGGCCGGCGGCGGCACGCTGCCGCTGACAGCCACCAGCGCCGGCCGCTGGTGGCTGGCCACCGTGGTGGCTCTGCTGCTGGCTGTCGTCTGCGCGCTGCTGCTGCGCTGCGTGGCGCTCCACATCCCCTCCAGCAACCCCAACAAGCCGCCGCCGCGACCCATGAGCGAAACGCTGCGCGTGCCGCTGGCCACCTTCTTCGGACTGAGCGGGGGCGGCGACCTCCAGCTGTGAATCTCAACGGGGAAGAAGGTGGCAAGGCTGAAACGGTTTGCTTTCAGTAGGGTCGTGCTGGTGAATATACAATACGAATGTATGGTTAGTATCAGCGCCTTCCGAAGCTCTGATCATGATTCGCTTATTTATGTTGTCTCTATGTGCGAATCTTTGGACTCTGGTTGATTTTCAGACAAGTGCATGTAACTGATTTGCTCGTACCGTGGTGGGGCATTTTTACCACGATCACAACCTTTTTTTGGAAATATTTAAAAGAAAGTTGTGGGGCGCTTAGCGCTACGTGGGCGCTAATATCGAGTTTCTGAGTTGGGTATGCGCGGGCGGAAAGTTGGTTGAAAATTGTCGAAATTTGACTTGAAAATGGGAAAGTTTGACCTAGCTTCGATGACATCTGGTGTCCTGACCTTTGGCTTTGACCTGACCTAAAAAGTGTCTATAGTAATTTCGCCATTACGTATCTTTTACGTTCTTTCTCCGGCGCCTACCAAGATACCTATAAGAAACAGGTAGATCCGATGTTTGAAAGTAAAGCCCCAGTCACAAATTTGACGCACCTGTGACATTTCCTGACACCCACGTGACTATTGTATTAACTTTTGTGTTTTGCGATGTTCTGACCTTATTTAAAGTACTGAAAGCTCAAAATGTATGATTAATATATATTTAATCGGACCGCGTCCTCGGTATACCAGGTATTATTCGGTGTGCCTAGCCAAGGGTGTTTTAAATAATGCCCGAACGGAGTGAGGGCATTATTTTTCCTAAAATATTAACCGAACGAAGTGAGGTTAATATTTTCAAAAATAACACGAATGAAATGAGTGTTATTTTTGCATTTAATGCACGAGCCTGCGAGTGCATTAAATATAAACACCCAATTGGCAAGGCACACCGAATAATGCCTGGTGTACCGAGGAGGCGGTCCGATTACATTTATTATAACGACTTTGCGCCGTTCGTCGCTCAGCCCGTCTGTTTAAAAGGGCTACATTGAGGGATTGGGAAAAGAAACGGGGCTTGGTTTTCTTTTCGGGGAAACACTTGTTAATAACGAAGTGTGTACTGTTTAATCAAATTAATAGCGCCAATTGGGAAATGCAATAGTGGTATAAGTGGATTGTACAATGTCTCGCTCAGTCTCTTATATTCATATGCAGGCCCTCTTGCAGTACTTGTAAAGAACTTATGCAGCCAGGGCCGCCTTCTGTGAGAACCGTATACTGAAAACGCGTATTTACAAGCTCTGGTCTATTCCATCATCTCTGTATCATGTTTGCCTGGGTATACCTACCAGACACTTGGCCTGCGCTGCGCCTATCTCAAGTGGCTACAGCCCATTCTGGGTCTTCCTTGTGTTGGTTGGAACACCTTCTGCTTCTCTATTCGCCAGTTCTTGGGAGAGCAAACTGCAGTTTTTTCTCGCTGTCTGTATGTACCATTCGTATCCATTTTCTGCATTAATGAGCATCACCTTTGAGTGATCGGACAAAGCAGTGGGCCTATGAGATTAAAAAAGGCGTCTCAAAGCTCTCTCTGAATTTGATTTAGCTCTGTGTTGCCTTCGGTGCCTGTGTTGCCTTCAATCTCAATGCAGGCCAATATTTATTTTTTTCAGCGAGCAGCTTCTTGTGAAACCATTCGGGCTCCACCACGGAAAGAAAAAGTCTGATTAACAATATTATTCCCGGGATTAATTTCTGTTATACCGACGTTTTACTTAAAAAACTGAAATCACGCGCGCGTTTAGAGACAGTCCTCCGATGCTGCCAAAATTACTCGTGCTATCAAGATTTAACCATACTTTTTTAACATGCGTGAACGGCGCAAAGTCGTTATAATGTTGTTTAACCCTCGCCGGACCTATTGGTTTTCTACATACGCGCCGGCCGAGGGGGGGGGGGGGGCGGGTACGACCCCCCCCCCTCGCCGTTTCGCCCCTGGTGGAGCTAGCGCGTCGCGGAAAAAACGAGCGTGTGCGCCGTTACGAGACGCAGAGATTGGTACCCGATTTTAAGGTCCTAGGTCAACCGGTGACCTCTGAGGTCAGGTCACGTGCCCCAAGGTACGGTTCAGTTTTTGGTGAATAGCTTCGCAAAAAATGGCCGCAGAGCCGCGATTTTGGCAGCATCGTGTTCGCCTCGCTCAGGCGCGTCGAATGACATACTTTTTGTTCGGGTCAGGTCAACTTGGGGTGTTGACCTCAGGTCAAGGTCAGGTCAGCACCCTAAGGTCACGAAGTTGGTCGAAAGGGGTCATGTCGCATATCATTCGATTCGGCAGGTCTTCCTGAGTCCATTGGTGGCTTTCCCGACTCGCTAGCTCAATTTGATCAAGAGTTATTGACGAAAAACTAATATGACCTTGATGACGTCATAAATGACGTCACGCAAGGTCAACATTGCAAAAGTGACGCATCTAACCTTGCAAGGAGTGCATCAAATCACGATTCTGTGTGCTTGAGATAGTTGGAGATCGTTCCCGGCGCCAGAATAGCAGTTTGAATTTTTCCCCATTGACTTATGAGAGTCACGAAAATAACCTGACCTCATATGACCTTAAGGAAAAATCCGAGATATACAAGTTGTGAGACTCATAATGGATACTAGATCCTGCAAGTTTAATTTCCCTGTGACATCTCCTCTGGCAGTGAGGGTGTTGCGAAGTTGCGACATCTGAAGACCGTGCAGAGGTTCACTTATGACGTCATAGGTCAGTGACCTGACCTGACCCAAAAATGCGGTTGGTGTCAAAAGATGCGGCTTGGATCAAAGGTCAGGTATGCCAAGTTTCAGCTCTCTATTGCCAGCGTGTTCGGAGCTATCGCGAAAAAACCCTATGGGGGGGGGGGCGGCACCCGCCCCCCCCCCCTCGGCCGGCGAGGGTTAAAGCAGCATATTAATAATTATGTTTGTAAATTATCGATAAGCTGCTTATAGCAGGTCACGTGATTGCTACCAGATTATGTGCTCAGAAAGCACCTTTTCAACTTCGATTTTGAACAATTTTTACCTCCTTTGAGGCCAAATGATGGACGGTTTGAGGCACACGATGAAATGCTGAATCTATTGATGCCAAAATTTGTTCGTTTTTTGCATTTTTAGACTAGTATATCCTGGCTCAAACTTTGACCAGTTTGTGTGTAAACCCTATGGTGAAGGGAAAACTTCACGCCCAGCAGACGCCATTACAGTGCTGCCAAATCGTGTTTGGTGGGGGTCGGCGCCTACCGCGTGTCGCTAGTCGCTACGTGGTCCAGGAGCCGAGTCAGAGGGTGGAGGGCGTGTTCCACCCCCCTCCTAGCATTACATTTTGCGTTTCTTTTTCGTAAAGTGAGATGTAACGTTAGCTTGCCTACGTTTAAATAATGCGTATGCTGATTTTTTTTCACGCGAAAAAAAAACGCCATCTGGCGGCCGGCCGGCGGTGCGGCTGCGGGCGATCGGTGCCGGCTCGTTGGCACAGCGTGCGCACGCTGCGTCCAGTGGGAGGGGGGATGGGAGGGTTCTGCGGGAGCATTACGGGTCAAAACTCAAAATATTATCGAAATAGTATTACATTGCACTCCATCTATGAATTTCACGAATGGAGCAACGATGCGCTTGCAGACCGTGGAATGCTAAATTTAGGAAATGTTTGTGTCTCCTAAGCTTAAAATAGCGTCACTCAACGTAAACGGGCTACGAGGCTGCGCTCAACGAAAAATGCCAAAACGGCGTAAATTTTTTACCTGGTTTAAACAGAAAGCAATAGATATTATTCTTCTTCAAGAAACGCATTCATCAGAATCAGACGCCCAGATGTGGTTAAATCAATGGGGAGGCAGTGGATATTTCGCTCATGGAGAGAAAAACAGCAGAGGCGTGGGAATACTAGCACGACCAAACTCTGGCATCGTTTTTAGCAATGTTTTTAGTGACGATAATGGTCGCTACATTATCCTCAACGCCGAATTCAATGGTGCTAGGATGACGATAGGGAACGTTTATGCGCCAAATCACGATAACCCAAGCATGCTAGAAGATTTTTGCGCGAAACTAAATGATTACGACGATAGCACCATTGTTGTAGGAGGTGACTTTAATTTCTGCTTCGACTTGGGAAAAGATAGACGAAGTTCAGCAAGGATTGTAGCAAATAATAATAGAAACAAAGAAGTCATCCTAAGCCTGATGTCTGAAAAGAACTTAATCGATATTTGGCGTGAAATCAATCCAGTAAAGGAGGAGTACACCTTTATCCGAAATAACCCGACTAGTAGATCACGCATAGATTTTTCCTCGTGAGCGAAACTTTAATGTACACTGAAAAGAGGCCAAGCGCAAAGATTGTAGACGGATACCTAACAGATCACAAGTTAATTACTTTGTCGATAAATATTTCCAATGTTGACGTAGGAAAAGGATATTGGAAATTTAATAATGATCTTTTGAAAGACGATCAATTTGTATCATTGATCCAAAACAGAATACCTGAAGTAATTAGTTCAAACGAACAAAGTGCCTCCTCCAGTACAATATTGTTGGAGACGACGCTTTGTGTTTTAAGGGGAGAAATCATAAAGTACGTTGCAACCAAGAAACGTATTTGTTTGAACGAACTCAAAGAAATTGAAATAAAAATAAATGAAAAGCAAGGTGATAATGCGTTGAATGGCGAGTGTGACGAACTGCGAAGGAAGAGAGATGAAATTATTTCTGATCAAACAGAAAAAGGAATATATTGGAATAAAGTGCGCTGGAGGGCATTCGCAGAGAAGGGTTCAAAATATTTCCACGGAATAACTAAGCGAAATTTCCCCAAAAACATTACGAGAGAAATGTATATAAATGAGGGCAACCAGAGTACCATTACTAACAAAACCGAGGAAATGTTGGAGGAAGGAAAAAGGTACTTCGAAACGCTATTTGAACGCCGTATTAGGAATGAGTCACGAATTGACTTTACAGAAGGGTTAAGTCAAGTAACACAACATGATAGACAAACATGCGATGCAGACA